ATTCAATGGTCGTGGTGTATATATCACTATGTAATAGTGCCGATGTAATTGCACAATATCAGTTAGTTCCATCATAAAGATAGTCTATACAGAATTTACTTTTGCAGTTTTTCTGCAAAAGTAAATTCTGTCATTTTCGATAGTCTTTCTTGGCTGATATTGTCAATTACAAAACATTTTCGCTGCTGTTAAAAATAAAAGTTTTATATTTCAATATTAAGTCCTTCATTTACTTATATATTATAGTACAGTAAAAACTCATTTTCAGAAAAACTTGACATGATTTTCACATAATTCTGATATTGAAGTAGTCGCTCACGTCGATCATCACAAATCTATAGCGTTTATTAGAGACTAATCAGACTTAAACTGTGTATTGCGAAGCAAACTTTGTCCAAGAGGAGAACACGATCGATATTATTAACTCTAGAACATTATTCATTTGTAAATATGATGAACTATTAACATGATAGATTTAACTTCTGCAAAAAAAATTGAGCTTTACTTACGTAGTTTCAAAATATTGGCTTATTAGTTTAGATGTAATATTTGTGAGATTGAAATCTCATTTGTTCACTATTTACTTATTGATTATTGAGAGAATCGATTATGAACATATCCTTCTTGTCATTTAAATTTACTCTGTATAAACGTCTCCTCATAAAAAATAGTTTTCGTTTCATATGTTCAAAAATTCTAATAGTTGAAATTGTCATAGTTGCAACTTTTCTATAAGTTGTATATTTTTAAGCATCAATAAATTCATATCAAGATTTTTCTTATTTTAAAAGTTTAATATCGAAGCAAAAATTATGAAATAATTTAATTATTAGCACAATAACAGAACAGAACCATCAGAAAAAAGTCGCATGCACTTCACTTTAATGTTTTCTATAGTTGAGATAGTGGTTGCTAATTCATATAGATGGGCACTAATGTAAAAATTTTGATGTAAAAATGTTTGCATTAATAACTTATCCGTAATGGAGCAAAACAATAGTTAGTACTAACGATTTTGCATCACAAAGTTGCATGGGTTACACTGTCATAAGACTTTCTAGTATGAAGTTTTAATTATTTCGTTTTTCGAGACTAGATTCGAACTTTATAAGTTAAATCTTCCGTTTTTTCGATTTCTCAGAATCGGAAAATAAGTATTATATAAATCACTTGACCAAATCTCTGTACAAACTTATTTAATTGATCGAGACTGAGATTGTGTAATTACAATTTAAAAGTACCTTTTCTGTGAAGTATTCAATAGCATGTTTCTATGCCGCGTACCTAAAGTGACCTTAGTGATAGGTTCTTGATGATAGTTTTCTATATAAGATATATAGAATCACTTTTTTCACGAAGCACGTCAAACAACTTACAAAATGCACAATAAAGAAAGAATTTCTAGTGATAGAGTAAAAATAAGTACTCAAGCGCTGAAAATTTACTTCAAAGTACCTGTAAGAAAGTTAATCTGATAGTATTTTTGGCAATTAGTTGAAATAAATTTGCTGAAACAGTAGCAAAGTAATATTTTAAACACTTCGTTAATGTGAAAGTCTTCCGACTAGTGAAAAAAAAGCACTTTTAACACTGGAGAATAGAATTTAAACTAGTTCTTTTGGTCTTGCGTCACTGACACTACAAACATACACCTGAATAATTAATTGAGTCGTGCATAACATTGGTATTTTTTCATATAGTGAAAAAAACGAAAAAATATTCCAGTCATATATTTCGTATTTGTTGACACAATAAACTTTCACTAATCGCTACATGAGTTGATTTATGTCTTTTGTTCAGATCTACTTAAATAATCATTGAGTTTTTCTATTTTGATGCACTTATTTTATTTTCTAAAGTGTACAAATCGGTTCAGTGGCATTGATTGTAGTGCATTTGGTCAATGTTGCAGAAGTTATCTGATCGGTAGATCTTTTTATTGAAAACAGTGGATGAACATTTTTTTCTTTTAAATCCAATGGCATAACTTGATGAATTATTAGTCGATCTGACTGTTTTGCCTACTTCTTGTTCATATTTCGAATACGTACATTTTATTTGTATTTATTTTTGTGTTTCATTTTCTTTTTAATTTTTCGTTTCTTATTCTCTGCATTTGACATAAATTGTAAAGGTATTTCAAAGTAACTTTGGTGTCTATTTCAACTACAACAGTAGATATATTAACGTTGAAATGAGTCCTTTAATAATTGACTCTAAAATATGTGTTTCCTTGAAAATATAGGAGGCGAAACTTTATGCAATAATTTATTATCTTTTCTAAATGAAATGGATAACGATAGACTCTAATATAGTACAAAACAATCGATGCTTATTCTAATCGTTCTCTCAAGAACTACTTTTTTAATAATATTTAAATTTAATTTCTCCATATTTTACTTTGACACTTTTTATCATTTTCTTAGACTTTTGCTGTCACTCATTTGGTAGATGTAATAAAAATAAAAATAATGAAGGCTGAAATCTCAAATATTTGATTGTCATTTTTTTCTGTTTATCATCTGTAATCAAGAAATAATTATTTTCAAAAGATTGAAAAAATATGGTGTGTAAACGATAATTGTTTGAATTGTCGTTCTTCTATCGAACAACTATAGTACATTGAGTTCGTTCTTAGTCATTATGTGATGATATAAAACAATCGCTCTCTCTATTAGCTTCATTGTAAAAGATCATATGAAAAATATTCAAATTTTCTTCGAAAGAACTTTATTGCTGTGAAAGCGTCTTTTTCGTTATGTTACGCTCTTAATAGTTGTTTTGTTTAACTTATCTTCTTCATCCTCCACTGACTTTTTTACAACGTCTATCTAACAGTATCACATGTGTTTCTGAACATTTATCCGTCTTATGATAAATGTTACATTCTTTTTTCCTCTGTTGAAAAACGTATATTATTTCGTATAAGCTTTATTCATCGTTATTATAAACAGATGATTAGTTTTAAGCTATTGAAAGTTATATCAAACAACACTCCTTCTTTTATCTGAAAGAAATCAGCTATAAGAAGATTATTTGGTTTGAATATATGCATGTATTTATTATGATAAAAAAAAACTTCGAATAAACAGAAAAACGAAATATTCACATTAGTGTCAATTTCTATGCAACAAAGTCATTTTACTGTAAGAATTTAAGATTGATTTTGATGTTGTCCACTTTCATCTTGACCAAGTTTATGTTGTTGTTGTCCACTACCGCCTTCACCAAGTAAACGACGTCGTCCACTACCGTCTTCACCAAGTAAATGACGTTGTCCACTACCACCTTCACCCAATTGATGTGCTGAGGAATCTGATGATCCCTGTTGTCCAAGTTTTTGTTGAGCTTCTACACCAGGTGCACCTAATGGATTATTTGGTGATTCTTGATTTCGATCAGATGATGTTGGTGCAGACATAATTATTATTCTTTTTTTGTTTAAGTTTAAGTCAATGTAATATTGCAAATGTAAACGTGTAATATTATTGCTTGAAAAACTGTGATGCTATGCTGAATTTTGCTACTCTTATTTATACTTGAGAAATGCGTATAACAACTAGATAACAACGTCAATTCTTAGAGTCGCAAGAAAATCATAAGTATAACGATGTTTTTTCAAAGATCATTAAGTAGAAATTGATAGTAAAAATGTTTATTTAAAGAAATTGACTCAACGTACACAATCCATAGATAAGAGAAAAAAATCATTGTTTCTTTTTTACTTCTCACATATTATTTTTGCTGCAGAATAAAAAAAATGAAACTATTACGTCGCAAACGGTAACAAACATTTTCAATGGATTCTTCTTCCTCATGCTTTGTTTTCAAACGTTTTGACTAAATTTCGCATGTAATTCAAATATCAAATGCTAACAAGTAACATCGGTGTATGAATCACATGTCGTTCACGTGCATTAGAGATATCACTTTTATGTCTGCTTTCACATTATTCTATACACTTAAATACAATTCTATTCGAATGGTTCATATGAACAGTTCTATTTTCCTACATAAATATCTTTATTTTCATGAATACTGTTTCTTATATTAGTTTATAAAATATAAGTTTTTGAACCTGAATCATTTATAACTTAGTCGAGAATTCCAAGCATCAACTTTTAATTAAAATTACTCATCAAACAATAAAAATAGAACGAATATTGAACAAACTAAGTGTCATCATTCATGCATCATCAGTTATTGTAAACAAGAAAAGGTAATTATTTGAATATAACATAATATTGTTTTATGAAATAGAAATCAGTATTCAGCTGCGCTATCACCGTTATTTTATGATATTGTCTTGTTTGTTTTATCGATATTTCTCATTTCAGCCCATTAGAAGATTATTGTTTTATTCTGTCAAGATAATTCATCAATTAGTATAGTATTTAACCATAAAATTTTTGTGATAAATATTTGTGTTTCCAAAGATTTATATAAATTATTTCTACTTGAAACAATTATTCAAAATGAAATCATAAATAAATTTTTTCAATTATTAAATAAAATATATACGTACATTTAATTGATGAAACAATTTTATTTAAATTCATGATCATTTTCTTAAATATATATATATATATATAGCCTCTTTTTCAAAATCATTGTATATCATTTACTTTAATTTTATTTAAACTACATAAATTAACTAATTAAATGCAAATAAAATTTGAAAAACAAATTATTCTATCAAGTTAAATTATCTAAGATTTATCGATGACTTCGTCCTGGTAATCTTAATAACTGAATAAATGTCAATATAAAAAAAAAGAAAGTAATAGCAGCTAATGCTACAAAATTTTTCCATAAATCCCATGTTGTAGAATAATCAATTTTATTATTATCAAGAATAATTTCACCTTTGATAGAACAAATATTTGTATTATTCATTGGACAAAATGTTAATTGAGTAAATTCATTTATAGTAATTACATTTGATGCATAACGAAAAAGACTAACCCATTTAATCCAAGCAAGAAATTTGACTATATTTGTTACATCAACAAGATATCCTGTAAATACAAGCATGACAACACAAAATGAAGCTGCAACTAAATTAGCAACACCTAAATAAATAACATATAAATCATTATATTGATATTCAATATAATAATAACAATCTTACCTATTGTTTCTACACTTGCCGAAACAAAAAAACATAATGATGCTGAACAAACAGATGTAGCAAATATAGCTAATAGATATATAAAAAATTTTTTAACTGATTGTTGAAATTGTATCATAAAATATGAAATTAATGAAAAAACAATTGAAGGAAATGATCGTAATAGAAGAATATCACACATTAATTTTGATATAAAATATGTTGAAACACGATAATAACCACTTGTATGTTCATGTGCAAATAATACACGTTCTTTAATAAATAATTCTAATGCCGATAAATTTATAAATACTTCATTTGAAACAATAAAAAATATAGCACCTAAACGATTTTTAACTCCATTCTCAAATGTATAATCCGTATTCATATAGAGAAAACCAACAAGTATTGCTAAACATATTGGAACAATTGTTTGCATTATCATTAATGTACTATTTCGAAATGAATTACGAAATGCTCGTTGTGATACATACCACATTTCAATTAAACATGGACGAGACATAACTTTAACTTGTTTATTTAATGTTCCATCTGATGATTTACTTACATCTTGAATTTGTTGTTGAATTGAATCATAAATAGATGATTTAATAAAAACACTATTTAAATATTGACAAATTTTATCTTTTCTTTGATCATTTTCAGTATCAATATCATCTATAGGATATGACATATGTCTTATATCTTGACATACATCTAAAATGAAATCAGCTGGATTATCATGTTCTTCACATGTTAAACCAATTGAAGAAAAAAATGGAAGAACATCATGTCTTGAACCATGATAAATACAATGACCAGCACCAATTAAAAATAAATTATCAAATAATTTAAATATTGAATAACGAGGTTGATGAATTGATAATATAATTGTATCTTCAAAAATAAAATAAAAAAAAAATATATATTTTACATAGAAATCATTTATTTTAACTTACGTCCTTTTTGAGAAAGTTGAGATAAACATTCTATTATATTATTAGCCGTTGATGAATCAAGACCTTCCCAATAAACAAAATGTTTTTTTATTTTTAAATAATTAAAATAAACAATTTGAATATTGTTAGTTTTAAGATTTTTACTAGACTATGAAATGATAGAATTTTTTTATAATATTCATGTTTTCATCATAGAATTTTTGTAAGAAATAATGAAATCATTCAAATTAAAATTGAACTTACCACTTGTTGGTTCATCTAAAAAGAGAACTGTAGGTGATAAAACTAATTCCATGCCAATATTTGTTCGTTTTCGTTCTCCACCAGATACTCGTCGATTACTTTGAGAACCTATTTTTGAATTAGCACATTTTTCTAATTGTAATTGTGAAATAACAAGATTAACAATATTAATTTTAGCTTTAAAAGATATATTTCGTGGTAATCGAAGATTTGCTGAAAACATTAAATTTTCTCTAACTGTTAATGTTTCACTAAGTATATCATCTTGAACGACATAACCTATTCTTGAATTAATATCTTGTCTATATGGTTGTCCATCTAAAAGTATTTCTCCTGTTAAACCTTGTCGATCTTTTCGATTAGCTAGTATATCTAATAATGTTGATTTTCCACTTCCAGTTGGTCCAAGAATTGCATTCATGCCTGGTTTAAAAATTCCAGTTACATTATAAAGAATTTGTTTTTGTTGATTTTCGAAACAAGATTCAGAAAATAAATTGTACCATTTTTTTGATGAAATCGTATAATTTAATGAATCAAAACTTATTGTTGAACCATGTATGCGTTTGTTTTCATCTGGTTTTAACATTACCATTGTTTGATTATCTTCAATACTCATTCTTAATTGTTTCTTTTATTTATGAGTAAAACGCAAATCTGAAAACAAAAAAAAAAAAGAACAATCATTATTCGAATCATCAAATTTTATTAATGGAATATCTTTTTTTTCTTCAGTTTAATATGCTCTATTAATTTAATCTTCTATGATTTAAAATTTATAAAAAAAAAAAAAATAATTCATAAGTGCAATGTTAGTTAATTATCAGAAAAGTCTTCATTGTATCAGTACTTACACTAAACATGATGATTAATGAATATATAATGCTTTTCTGTTAGATTTATTTATTAGGAAATATATTCTCTCAGCTTTGTTTTTTATTCTTATACATGAGATTAGTCACATAATAATAATGATTTGAAACATGAAAAATTTCTAAAAATAGAACATAGATTAGCTTTTGATTTCTACTTATTTACTAATTTAGTCTGACAGTTAGATGTTAAGCAAAGACAAGTAACAGTAAAAATTAACGAATTATTATATATGAATAGGTATGTTTCAACCTTTAATTTTACATATTGGTGTTGTTTCTTAAGTTTTGTTTTCAAAACAGTTTTTATTCCTTCATAAAATGCGATAAGAAATAATGATTGACAATAAAAAAACATAAAACTCATGTTACCTCTTATAGAATGACGGTGATGATTTCGATTAAGTAGAATAAATTAAAGATCAATATCTTTATATTTATTTTTTACAATAAAATATTTGAATGGCTTCTCAATTCATTTTTCAAAGTTATTTGTTATGTTTCACTGCTAAATAAATCCGTTCTTATACAATTAATATGAAAATGAAAAGAATTTAAAGTATCAAAATTTATGACAAATCAATTCAAAGCTCGAACAGAGTTTAAAAGATGTTAGAATCTGTTAAATGCAATGGAAAGAATTATTAGCTATTCTCATTTTGAGTATTGAAGTGATTAATTTTACTAAATAGATTGAATTAAAAAACAAGTTGTAAAACAGTCATACATCATTTTCCAAAAATAAACAATATATTGATTATCATATATCAAATTTAATAATGAACGTTATACATACTATTTATATATAGTATCATATTTTGTAATTGATTAAAAGTACAAAACTTATATGATATAATCCGTATTCCAAATTGATAGTCCACTAGAAAATCTATTATAGGCTTTCTTCAAACAACAACCTAATAATTATATTATAGGCGTCAATGAATGAAATGATCTAAACATTGTGCAGTAGAAATTGACTAATTGTCTTCACTTATATGCTTGCAACACAAAAACATACATTTTTTTTCTTCTTACAATAAGCACAAGTTTTTTTTTTGTATAAATATTATGAAGGACGTCGAGAGTAAGCGAAAGAAAAGAAAAAAAAAAATTGACTTACTCAATCCATTTGAATACTTATCAATGTTGTCACAATTCACGTAGAATGTTGTTAAGCAACAGAATAAAAAAGGATTTTTTTTTTACAGACGATCGAACAAATAATAAGAGAGTCCGATCAAAATTATTGGTTTACTTTCAAATTGATATTCCTTGCACAATTCAAGGTTTCAGATACAGTCAACAGGCTTTCCTTTTTATCTATTCAAAAATCATTCAACCGAACCAAACCTTTGTTGGATTAATGACAACACAATGATTGATACACCTTTTCTTTGTTCAGTTACAGACGACAAAAAAAACCTTTTCATAGACATACAAATAATGATTGAGAATGATTCTTTTCTCGTCTGAAGCGACTGTTTTAGATCAAGTCTTCAAGTTAAACTATGTCTAAGCTATTGCTATATTATTTCAAACAAGTATAGTCTTGAAATACCATCCCAGGAAAAGCTTATATAAGTGTTTACCATTCTTTAGCTAATTTTTTTTCAAAATGTTTCTGTTGGAATATACTACTATAAAACTTATTCTTTTATTGTTTGTTGAATTAATCCTTCGTTTTGAAGACCATAAAAATATCTGCCCTAATCAGTGCTTCGGAATGCCTTTACTGCCTTCTATACAATGCTAAGATTTCAAAGTTCAAGCAACAAAAGACATTATTAATAATTATTAGTTTCTTAAAATTTTTCACTACATTTTAATCATTTATCTAAAGAAGCATATGTGTTATTGAAAGCAGCTCTTAATATTTTAGAGAGCATTGTTGCTTCCTACTAGTAAGAAAATATCGTCTATCTTGATTAGAGTTTCGCTTAAAGTATAAGTAGAACTATAACCCATGTGAAAAAAATAAGGGGAACAATCAGATTAAAAAGTTGATTAAAAAATGATTAAAAATCGATTATAATCAAAAAAGCCAAATTTTCATCGATTATTCCTATTATTTTCGAGTACAATCGATTACAATTTGTGCAAAAAATATCGATTTTTTGCCACAGAAAATCGTAAAACCTTCAATCGAATTCCTTAGATTTTCAACGATTATAATCAATTATTTTCTTGAACATTTAATCGATTATAATCGAAAATAATAGGAATAATTGATGAAAATTTGGCTTTTTTGATTATATTTAATTATAATCGATTCCTAATCGATTTTTTAATCCATTTTAATCTGATTATTCCCCTTATTTTTTTTTCACATGAGAAGATGATGAGTATCATGTTGTTATTGAAATCGATTGTTTTCATCTCTCAAACCCATCGTATAAAAGAAACTGTACAAAAGCAGGTCATGTACCTGATTTATTATGAATTTTAATGAAACCTTGTCTCTATGTAACTTTCGCTCATTGAAACAAAACAAAATAAGAACAACTAGATCAATATTCATATATTGTATATTTAAATATCGAATACATGAATATTAAAGTGGTTGCTCTTATTTCTTTTTTACTCTAGGGAACATCTATTATAGTTTGATACTGTGCATAAAAAGATTTTAAAAGCTCAAATCTTTTTGGCTTTTTTCACTATTTAATTCAAGTTCTATATAGTCGAAGTTTCATTGAAATTCATGATATATATTGATCATATGGTTTGTTTTTGTATAGTCTCTTTCGTTCTACAGTTCATAAGTTTGAAGAACATTGCATCGTCATCTACGAGCTAGTCAGAGCTGTGAGCCACAGAATATTTGTTTAGTGGTATGGATGTCAATTAAAATCGATCAGACTAAATTATGCTACACTTTAATTATCTCATATCATGACATTCATATATGACAGTCGATTAGTAAATACCTTCGTTTGATTATTGTAGTAGTGAAGTGAATGTTCTACTTCAATATTATAACATTTCCTAGCACTTTTCGAAAAAACTTCGCAGAAACTATTAATTTTTATGCGAGTTTTTCAAAAAAAAAAGTATGCAAAAACGCAATGGATTTGAGGCTAGTTGTCACGAATTATTATTCGGATCGGGCGTGTAAACTTGTCAATTACTAATCTACTTAATATCTCTTGTAATCATATACAAGAGACTTTCATATGACAGTAATGTCATGATGACTTCCAATAACAAAAAATAAATCTTCATTTCTTGATAAATTATGATTGTTTTCGGTTTAATTATTGATTAATAATTGATAGAAACATGATGATCAGATATATATTAAAAAAAAAAAAGAAATAAACTATTCAGGGAATCATTTCTCATCATTTACATGTCAATTCAGTTAGCAGCTTTAAGTGAATCATCTATAAAGAGAATTATCATGGATAACTTCAATTTTATATAAGTGGTACTATAAAAATTTTCTTATGAGCCTTTTAGATGAATATTCAACAGCTGACTCTAGCATTTCTTTTTATATTATTACTTCTAATGTACAATGTACTATTGCATTATACATTGGATAAGATCAGAGAAGTGGGTTTTGAGACCGTCTGTTCTGAGGCCAATAATGACTTGCTCTGACATATTTCGTTTCGTATTGTCGTTGAAATTTGAATATAAAAAAAATAGAAAAAGTTCTGTTAAGTTAAATCTATAGAATATACTAGGTTTGAATATGATTTCATATAATCTTTTGCCAAAACTTCGTTGATATATCATGTTTTTCGAAGTTCTACATTGTCATAGTGAAAAGTGAGACTTCATACATCGGTTTTTTTATATAACAGATTAAATAGTTTGAAAATTTCCGATAGGCAGCTATTGACAATCAAATTATTGAAAGGCTATATTATTACTGTAATTTTCACTATATTGTATTGTATTTGTATTAATTAAGTAAAATAATGATTATGTTTAGATGAAAATAGTATTCAATTTTTTTTGGTTCTTTATTTGAAGGTTACGGTTTCCTGTATGTCGAATAATATAGTCATATTACAGATGAGTTCTGTTTTTCTGGTTGCATGTTTCAATATCTCCGATTGTATTAATATTGGCATTGTTTTGTTGTATCTCGTTTTTTATTTCTAACACGATCTACATTATTTTTCTAAACAACATTATTGTGGTGTCGCCTTGAAGAACTATTGCGACATGGCTTCGATTATATTTCATCTGTATTGACTTGTTTTGTTAAAGTTGTCGTTCATTAAATTCGTATTACAATAATTTTATATTATCAATCAAATAACTAAAAATTCATAGTTAAACAATGAGAAGATAATAATTTTTTTGTCATTTATCGTACTCTAATCAATACTGATCTATTACTCACTAGTTGATTACTACGTACTATACTTCTAATTTTGTTAATCTTCTGTATTTCAATGATTTTGACTGATGCATCATGACAGGATTGAGTTTACGAAGAATCTTATTGCTCATAAGTCAATTAATTATTATTTTTTCTGAAATTTCGATGCTTTGAATTTAGCTTTTGTGATGGGAGGATAAGTTATTCTGACTTATGAGATTTCTTATTCTTTGTTTTATTCTTGCATCTAGAGTCATCTGTTCTATATAATTAGTACAGTATTCAATACATTCATCCATAGTATTTACAGGTATCTAAGTTTGCATCAAATGCTATTTAGAGACTTCACAGACTTATTGAGTCGATCCCATGACAACCAACGTTATAAATTTGAAATAATATTAAAGC